CTGTAATAGTTCACAATGCTTAAAATAGTCAAGAACATCTATTAGTAAACAGAAACTTATACCCAATTGTGATGAACATGATATACAGAAGTTATTCTGTACAAGGCTGTTATAATTCCAGATCCTATAAAAAGCTACAAAACATCCTCGGATGTTTATTTTTATATGCAAATAGAAAACACTTAACTCTCTATCAAATATAGAAGTGACATTTACCAATTCTATCAAAACTCAATAGAGCTAAATAAATAGTTCATACATTTAATTATAACTCTAATAACAAGGAAGCATTATAACCGACATCATAATTAGATACTGTTCTTACTGAAAATGCAGATATTCTAAGAACTGTAATGAACTTTTTTTACACAGTCAGAATATTCCAGTTTACCAACTAACAATAATTGTAATTAACTTACAAAAATGCAAAAATAATACAATAATAACAAAATGGCAAAAAAATAATAAAAAGAACAAAATAATAACTATAACAAAAAAATTATAATTAAAAGCTATAATATTAACATACAAACAGACAATTCCCAAATGCAGAACTTATTCCCATGTGGAAGTGCAGAGCACATCCAGTACTTAATAGTCCTAAATATTCTATGCATTGAAGTTAAACACACAATTATCATTACAACATGTCAAATGGGAAAAAAAATTTAAAGGCTACCCATAGTGCAAATATTATGCGAAGGTTGTTGTAAACGTATACATCTCATTGCAAATATTAAAAATTTGTGTTAATTTGTGCTGAAGAATTTGTCGTTTTAATAGTGTTTTAGTCCATTCACTCCAATATAAGTCTGATGGTCTTTGCAGATGAAATTCAGCGGTGAGTGGTCAAGAAAACGCAAAATGGTGTGGAGACCCAATACTTCCACAGTGACATTTGTCATCTTCCTTGAGATGCAGTCGGAATAAAAACGACGGAAAGGGACCGTTTTCCGTGAGGAAAAGTTGACTACGCTGCAGATGAAACCAAAAATGTTTCCGTGACTTTTGGCAAAAATTTAAAAGTTCTTCTGCTTAGACACCGTCTCCTGCCAGAATGCATTATGCCCACAGTAAAGCTCGCCGGAGGTGGAATTGTGGTCTGTTGGTGTTGTTTCTCCTGGTATGGGGATTGGGACTTTTGATCCAAATTTATAGTAAGTTGAACGCGGATGCCTACTGCAGTATTTTTGATGATAGTGTCCTTCCTACGTTGTAGCAGTTTTACATGTAGGACCTATGTTATTTTCAGGAGCAAAGCCAGCTGTCATGTTGCCAGGTCCACCATGAATTGGTATGGTGACAACGGGAGGGGGGTTAATTGAATGGATTGGCCTGCCCACAACCCTGACCTGAACTCTATCGAGAGCCTCTGAGAAGGGTTGCATCGCCGAATTAAGAGGTGCAATAACCGTCCAATCTTTAGCAATCTTGCTTTTAAGCAAGAAGAAAGAAGATGAGGCCTTTGGCGAACGCCGTTTCCTCCAGTCCGTGAGGTGAAGTTTAGATCAACGTCCAGTATCGGCGAAAGAACTTGCATGTCTTCTTTAAGGCAGGTGGAACAGGACATCCCTGAGGTGGAAGAAAATACCAATAGGAATCATATAAGGACTTGTGAAATGCATACGCCGGGGGGTTGAGGCTGTAACTGTTGCTCGTGGAAGCTCTACGAACTATTGAATATGAATAAATATTGTTTTTATTTTCTATAACAGGTGTCCAAATACTTACTGGTAGCTAGTGTAGTAAGATAAGGTTAGGCAGTGTTAAAAAAAATCAGGTTAAGCATAGCTTAATGAGTAATATTTCCCAATTTGAATTAAAAGAACAAATTGCTTTTTATTAAATCCGATGTAAGTACTGCATGTCTTTTTCTACAGTTAATACGAGTACTTGGAAATCCAATATCAATCGTATTAGAATTATTCATAGCTTAAAATATTTATTTTGTTTGTATGAGACGCATTTTGCTTTAAGGAAAATTGCTTTTTCATGTCTCAGTTTTACATCGGCCTTTTTTCATTAAGTACTGATTTTTATAATCAAATAATGCTTACGCGTTTCGATTAATCACTTCAAAAAATAAAAATGGCATCATTATACAATCGTTTATAAAGCAAATCATCGTTATCGTGATTCTAAGGGCCCTATACTTTGTCTGATCTTGATATCTACAGCCAATTTAAATTTAAAAACTAGAAGCAAAATCATTCTTTTTAAGTGCTGAATTTATTAACTCAGTTTATTATTATTTTAACTAACCAATTACTATGATTTAGACTTTTACTATAACTTTTGCTTTTCCGTTTCCTCACTAGTAATGCAAATCAGTTAAGGAAGTATTAAAGTTGAGATTTTAGGACTGTAAGACGGAGCGTATTTCCGTCTCTGGAGGCCACGTTACTAGGTTTCGCTGGCTTTTAAAAGATTCAGATTATTCGGCTTTGCGTTATTTGCTGCCGCCATTTAAATTGTTATGTCGGTGAGAAGTTCTGAGCCCACTTAGAATTAAATTTAATTAGTTTGAATTCTGAAGATTAGTATTGTTTTATGTTGCATCGTCATAAATGTGGCTGATATTGTGAGAACCCAATGTGCCTTTGTGTTAAAATTCTGATCTTAATAAAAATTTATTCTAACTTTTTCAAGACTTCGTAGTTCATTTAGGACACAGCGATAATTTGCTTAATGTCTCTTAGATGTTTGATTAATTTATGCTACCAAAGAAAGTCAGACTCTATTAAGTTTATTAAAATTTAAAAGTCAGTAAATGCGACAGCGACCTTTAAGTGTAGCCCTATAAATGCAAGAAATTCTATATCACAATACTACTTAGTTAAAAATAATAATTAGTTCTGTAATTTATCAGGCTACATTGTTTTTTTTCTAGTCTCGTGACCAAAATATAATTTAATAAACTTGTAGAAAATTGTCGCATTTCGCCATAAGCCCTGTCGGGGTGTAATTAGTGGTCACATTCAACTAGGTATTGAAAGATGTTCGAATCATGGTAAGGAAACGACTGACTTTTAATGTTTCCTGCTTCGAAAAAACCTAATGCTTCTTATTGTATTTGAACTAAATCTTTTGTAGTCGATTACTCGCCACAACGTGAATTTGATCGACTAGGTCTCATGCTTCTTATTGTATTTGAACTAAATCTTTTGTAGTCGATTACTCGCCACAACGTGAATTTGATCGACTAGGTCTCATGCTTCTTCCCAGTGATTTTACAAAATGGAGAGTGGAAGAAAGCATAAATTATCATATTCCTATGTATACGCTGTTCTGATGTGAGTGGTTAACAAGTTCAGAAGCAGTTGCGTTCATATATTTTTTTCTCGTTTTCTGCTTCGAAAAACTTACTAGTCTTTTTTGCGAAGTCAATCTAAAATTAATATAATTTTGTTTCTGACTATTTCAGATTTTGGATATACCTTGCTTAAAAAATATATTTTTGTTTGTTGCATATTAAAGTGGATATTTTGCTATGCGTTACGTTACTGTACTATTTTGTCTTCGCCCTTTCTAGCAACGAGTGAGAGTCTTAGAAACTATCTATAAATAACTATTTTACAATGTATATAGCCCTCTTTTGTAAATTTTATGTATGATCGAAATTAATCTTCTTGTACTGAGTTTGAAAAATATTCATGAAATTGAATAGTTTAATGATTAAATTTCAGTAGAAATAATGCCTATAATAATCATTGCAAATCATCGTAAACTTCGAACTCGTTGCTTGAAGTTCGCGTGCTTTAACTAGTAATACCTTCATGTAATGTTAATATAATTTAATAATAATTCCCAAGTACGTATGCCATTTTGCACTTCGGCTAAGATCGTGCATTGCATATTAAGTAATTTACATCATGCTGTTTGTAAGAATTCTTAAAGCACTTAGACTGGATGGCATTATTTAATTGACACTAAGTATACAACGCTTCATTTTCGATGCTTTATCTCAATTTTGATCGAAAGTTCAGCAGAGGAAATATGAAGTTCTTACAGCCTTCTTCTTCCATTCTTTCGAACTAAATTTTAAGTGTCCCATTTCATATAAAACTACAGTCACAAATGTCCGCTCTCCTTATGAAAATGTCGATCCCAGAAATAGAGGCTTGTGAGTCCAGGCTTTACGAAGCGTCCCCCGTGGAGTCTTTAATTGCTATGGTTGAGATCTGTTCTAATAGTCTTGGCTCTGTGGCTGTATAGGCTCTGTATAGAATACACGAGCTGGGTTCCACGTAGCATCTATCCGAGTAAGTGAAGCCGGTTAGAATGTTCTTTAAACCCTCTGAGATTTGTCGAAAAAGCCGCTTTTTTTCACCAGAGTCGAAGGTCGGCGATGTCTTCAGACCAATATTTAAATGTCGCTTGATTGCCATACTCTTCAGTCCAACCGTACGTCTCGCCTAATACAGGCGAACTGAGCTAACGGCTAATATATTCTATAATTACATTAATTCACAAGGATAAGCATATATATTTTAGCTAGTTTGCGAAGTACCTAAGGTATTCATATATTTGTCCACGAAGGCCAAATTTATTAAGACAATTTTTATAACTAGCATTAAGATCACCAGTAAATAAGCAATTCATTAGCAGGTTTTCTTAAAATTCTACTTTTTTTAGTCGCAAAATAATAAGTAAACAAAAATAAAATCACTGGAATTCTTCGAACACAGTTTAAAGAATAGTACAGTAATTCAAACGATATGAAAATTTTTTTAATCCATTTAATCTGATAACAATCAGTATAATGTTCTGGAAAACCACAATGCCAGAAACAAATGAAATATAATAAAATTCTACGATATGATTTCATATGATCGTCATATCTATTTAAATATCGTGTAAACGTCAGTGATGTTGCCCCGAAATCCATTGATAAAAACTTTCTCCGCTTTTGTATCAATGGCCGAAACTTAGTATGAAGATAAGATAAGGTTATGAATTTGAGTTGTTGTTAGAAACATATTTTATGCACTCAAAATAGTTTCGTCGTGTCATGAAGTATTTCTGTGAAGCTTAATTTGTTATTTTAAAAGGAATTAAGGTTAATCATGTTTGATTTCATTTCATTCAGCAGCTACTGTTTAGTAGGTGTTTCAACACTGCTTATTTATTTTTTGTGGTTCATCAAAGATAAAGGTAAAACTTGTTTTCTTATTTTATTTTCAGTAATAATTCCCATTATCTGACAAGTAAGCCTGAACACTAAAACTGGGTTAGACTCCCTCCTAAGCCAATTTTAGTGTTCACTTGATAAAATATTGCAAATATTTCAGATTTTAGTTTGAGGTGAAACTCTTCCTTTATAATAGAGTATCTTCCTAAAAATTTCGCATTTAAGATGTTGAAATTTATAGCTACTAGGTTGGGTATATGTTCCAGGAATACTTATTTGAATTTGGAAGGTTGTAGGGTACTGCTTGTATAGAAACTCAAATCAATGTCTTTCAGATCCTACTAGACCAAGGGTTCTCAACTTTTTTTGCCATCATTTCCACCACTGCTAGAAGATCATTCCCCTCTCCTTTCCAAAACTCGAAAAATAAGTGTATACATTTTTCTACATTCCTATTTAGATGATTTTTTAACGTGTTTTATAACTTGAACAATAGGGAATGTAGAAAATGGTGATAAATACTAACACAATTAAAACTTGAAGGAAAGCAGTTTTTTATATTCATAAACTAAATCTAAACATATAAATAAAAGGCTGACCACATTCCCCTCCATGAAATTATGAAATTTCTCCTAAGTCTTAATTCCACCCTATATGAGTACTCCTATATTTGGCTGGCAAGCGAGTTATTGCTCTAGTCAATGCTAAGATGGCAAAGTCTTACATGAACTTTTTCAATTAACAAAAGAAACCACTTGTGCTAGAAGATAAATCCGCTACTTGTGGGTATTTAAAATAACATAAGATGAAGTTATTTTCAAGTAACACAGTCTGAGATTGCACACAAAACAGTCTACTCAAGTTGGCTCAAATAACTAACGTTTTTAAGTTGGCTAGTAAAGTGGCTAAAGCCGGAATAAACTTTAGCAGAGCTGGTGAAAGTACGTAACTGCAAACGAGGCTGCCAGAAGCTCTAAAACATTCATACTTTCGTCTTTAATACCAACCAGCCACTAATTTGAATTCTGGTGAGAACTGCAGAAAAAGAAGTTATACTTAAGTTTTAAATCCTAATAATTGGCTAATTAACATAAAATGCTGCAAGGTGTACATTTAAATTCATGTTATTGCTTAAAATATTGAGATATGTTTTGTTTACTATACGCTATTTATGTAAAATTATTTCACTGCTTCTTAAATTTAGTTTATGATCAACATACTAAATATGAATATAATGTAGGGAAACTCGAATATTCTTAAAAAATAAAAATAATATTTTAAAAGAAAAATATTATCAATATCTTTTAGTTTTCTTGTTTATCTAAACTATGCAAAAGTGTGCTCGAATATGAATGAAACTTAAAAAGCTTTTCAAATTAAGTTATTAATTGAGATGAATTGTCTCCTTTTGTTTACAAAATTTATACTGATATAGCAGCTGCAGTGCTTGAAATCTGAGAAGCAGTTTCCCATGGAGGTAGGAAGTAAGATGGAGTAGCCCTAAACAGGTTTCTCCCGTACCCTGCTCGAAGCACCGGCGATCCCTACGTAGTGACCAAAACATTGGGTCATTTACCATTAAGTTCAATGGGTTTTGACGCGATCGGATGTAAATATTTTGTAATTACGTCGTAAATATACATATAAATGTATATATTTTCTTTTTCTACAACACTTCAGAGTCCTAAGTATATGAAAACAACATATTTTTAAACAACATTTCATTCTGAACGGAATTAAATGCTATACATTTCGCAGAACAGTTTTCTCGGAATGGTTTAATTTGAATGAAATATTTTCACACGTTTTCGTTAATTACATTAGAAAAAAAAATTAAGGTAATTCAATTTTATTCGGTTAAGGTACAAAAATTAAGATCAAAGTTTATAGTATTATTAATATTAAAATTATACATTATTTCTTTTCTATTTATAGAGCTACTTCCTAAAATACTTTCTTAGATATGACATGATTTTTTGGCTTCTGAGGCATCTTTTAAATCGAAAAAGTATAAGTCAATTTATAATTAATGATCTATTCGGTTCATTTTAAATTAGAGAATTATTAGAAATTAGCGAAATACTTTAAATAGTACTTAACTTACTATGAACATTTCTAAAAGGGAATAAAATAAGGATTTTTTCTAAGTATTATTTAAAACTTGTAACTGAGTTATTATAAAATGTAAGGGGAATAATTCTTTTATTTATACTTATAAGACTTTTTTTTACCATTAATTTCAACAATACATATTCCAAAACTCTTTATTACTTTCTTAAGTGCGCATCTCATAGCATTTGCTTTACAATGCCATTTAACAGATTGCTTACCAGTACGAACAATTCTTGCTTAAATAGTTTTATAACGTATTTGTGAACAGGATTTCAATTTATGTTTACAATTCAATATTAAGGTTATTATATATTTAGATAACATTTATAATCATTATAAATTAGATACATTTAATAATTAGATTTCTTCATATTTTTCATTTCCGGCATGTGAAAATCTTTAATTTCTGTGCATTCACTATATTTTATTTTTAATTAACCCAAATAAGTAAAATGTGTAAGCCCAAAGGGATTATTTTTCAGATATATAAAATTAAAGTGATGAGTTTAAAATGAGCAACAATAAAGCCTCCCCTCTAAAAAATTTAAAAAGGTACATGTTACAATAATATATGGATGTGAAAAAAATTTATTTTATTTAAAACATTTTGGCGTTTGGAACATAAAATAAAAGTAGCGAATACTCTATCAAGGGTATCGAAAGACGTACACAATTTTTAAGGTACCGTAAGTTATTTTTCATTCTTTAACCATAACATTTTTGTTAAAATTTATATTTTTGTAGTTCAACAGCTTAGAATTTTATAAAACAAATTCATAATCAAAATCGCTGTGGTTAGTTATCGAAAAATAACCAAGATGTGATTTTTGAGTAAATGTCACTAAACTATACAAATTACTATTATCTATCACACTATGAATGTTTCTTTCATGTGAAAGTGTTCCTTTTTCGATTTCTATGGAACTGTCGTGTGTCGAAATACTATCAGAACACTAAGGAAATGCGTACGTGACTGGGTAGCTCGCCGTAATGAATTAGGAGCATTAAGTCAACTTTTAATGATCTTCGGGGCGAGGATATCCAAAGTTAAAATTTGATCAGAATGGGTGAAAGACAATTTGCAACTTCATTCGAAATGGTCTCTCTACTTACTCAGAGGAAACAAATTGCATTGTTTTGAAATGTGCCAGCAAAATTAAAACTGCTTCGGTTTCTGGCTATGGGTGACTCCTACAGTTCTCTGCAATATTCATTTCGAATTCCAAAATGCACAATCAGCATATTTCCTCCAGAAATGCGTGAGGCTATTTTCTCTATATGAAGGTTGAGTGAAAATTATTAATCTTTTTATTGAGCTCTCCAACTCCATTTAACATGTTAATAATGTCCTCATATGCATTCTGTCGGCTACTTTTATCTTAATACTTCCGATGATTGTTTATATATAAAATCTAATCTATTGTTCAAATAAAAACGGAAGTCTGTAAACAAAATTTCAAAATTTTAGATTATATTTTATTAGGTGTAATTTGTCATGAGTGAAAACTGGTTTTTCGAAATTTATATTAAAAATATCAAGTGGTTTCCCTTTCATTTATTTTATAATTGAAAAACTGTATTTTATTTATTAAATTGAATATTTATACAGTTTCAAATTGTATTCACATCTTGGTTATTTGAATAATATATAATTTTATTGTTTTGTGATTGAAGAAAATTCAGAAATAAATATGTATAAATAAATATTTTGAATCCGATACCCTAATTTAATTTTCTTCTATGTTTATCCTACAATGTAAAAAAACCTAAATTCATTTTGATCAGTAGTTATATTTAGGTATTAGTAAACAATGGTCATAATATTCAGGCAGTGAAGTATTCCATATTATTTCACAAGATGCATATGGATTAAAAAATACCATAGTTTGATTGTCGTTCCATCTCGGCATTTTCGATATGATGGAAAAAATTGGACAGGATGCCTCTGCGAACATTGCTCGGGTTATTGCCCTGATCGATTTTCAATTGGTTCGCAGCAGAAATGAAATCGCTGACTCATCTCTCTTATGTTTCTATTGTGGCGAAATAAGCATTTACATTATCAAAGAAGTCGTAGCGAGTGGCTTGCTACAAGTCACTGGAGAAATGTAAACCGGTCTTAAATGAAGTATACAATTCAGACACTTAAAACCATCAAGTTTAGTTTCTCAATAAATTTGACAAAATGTAATTGAGCAATACTTTCTTTCTTTTCGAGAATTTTTTTAGCAATAATAATCAATATATAATCCATATATAAACACTAAACATAGAGCTCAAAATTCTACGAAGAAAATTAAGAATGTGGTGCTAAGGGACTCCAAAAACTCAATATAAGGATCAAGGTCCCCTGAAATTGCAACAATTGCGTTCTTTTTTCAATGTTAAATTAAATATTAGTAAACGTAATCTATGCAAAGTATCAATTAAAAACGCTTAAAACCCTTTTAGGTCTGTACGCTAAAGACGAAACAAAACCACAGCTTACAGTTTTCAGGTCTCGAATCTTTACTGAGTTTCATAGTATTCGCTGATTCGATTGTCACATCCCTAGTTAAGTAAATTGAATTCAAATTTCATTAATTAACTGAATACAAGTTTCATTGAATAAAATTATGAATATAACTATTTAACTAATAAGTCAGAATGATATATTCTCAATATTCTTATCTGATAATAAAGTTAATAACAAAAGTATCAACTGCATTTATTCATATAATATAAAATCATCAGTGGCTGAATAGGTAAAACATATGAATGCTGGCGACTTTTCGGCGACAGAATACGCTGGTTAAAGGGAGCTTTTATGGTCGAATGCAACGGGAATGAGCTGAAATGCTTTAAGAAGCACAAAAGAATCTTTTTTTTCTTCACTTTGAGTGTTCTTCCTGTTATGAATTATCTTTCTTTA